TTTATCTTTCTGCCATTTGAGCCCAGGAGGTGATGCTTCATGTGCTCTAGTAAGGCTTTCACCAGAGAGACTAACGCGGTGCACTAGGACTGGGCAAGTTGGGCTTCTCTGAGCCTATGAGTATTAAGGTCCACAGCAGCAATTTTTAGTGCTCACCAAAGGCAGCTAGCTACAACATCTGTTCTCTGTGGTGCTAGTTTCTGCTCCAGTTCTTGTCACCTGTGGACTGTGACCAACTGAAACTATGTGAAGATCAGGCTGCAGGGGAACACTCAGCCCCTGCATAGAGGATGGGGCAATTAGGAAACACCCAGCGGCTGCTGTTCTGCCCAGCGTGGCTCCTCCCGTGGCTGGCTGTGATCAGCCACATCCTCCAGCCCAAGCGTGCACTTTCGTTTTCCACCGATGTTTCGTTTTTGGCACTCAGGGAAACTTACAGATGCCCTTTCTTAATGTAATTGTTCATTTGTTAAAAGAATGGTGGTAACACTATTTCTGCTTAGTAATTGTTTCTTATCTGATTAAAAATACCAGGTCAGTTAGCAGTGTAAATTCTCTAGTCACGCTTGTCTTGTCACCCCTAAAAAACTCATAAAGCTCTGAAGCTGGCTTTGGCCAAAGGGTCGTGGTGGCTGACCCTGAGAGGATGAAGAGCCAGCCCACTGCAAGCTTGTGACAGCAGACTCTCTCTTCAGAAAAGACCTGTGAAAATCTGGACTTGGTTGTCACAACTGGCACCAGTGCACGTGTGGTTGCTCATGTCTGAGAGAGGGTGAACTCGGAAGGGAGCCTCACATACAGAGATAGCTTTTGTGTCACACCGGGACAGCGCCTACTTGTCTCCAGACACAGCCCAGCCAAACTTGGGGGACTCTTCCCTCTCTGGGGTGGGGCCCGCGTGCAGCTGGTGGTCTTGGCGGCCTGTGAGTAGCTGGCGCATTATCAGCATCTTCTAGATTCCAAACCAAATTCATGGTCGGTGGAGGGAAAACTCGAGTGCCACCAGGTGGAAGCTGTGGCCCAGCACTCCCACCTGGTCTAGGTTCACGCTTCATCAACTCAGATTACAAGTCATGATTTGCCAAACCCCCAAACTGCTGGATGTGGACAGCACGTTAATTTGTTCCTGCTGGCTAGGTGCAAAGCTGTGCTTGAAGTACTGAAGGTGGGCAGCAGGTGATAGTGCAGGTGGCCGTTTCCAAGCTGTTTGAAGTCGTTGAGAACAGCCAGCCTGTCGGGGGCCATGGAGTCACACTGGTGGGTAACAGACGGAAAGAAGGTAGAGCTGCCCCGCTCTTCTAACTGGCTATGCTCTCTCCACTGAAGACGGTGATACTCTACTGGAAATAATTGGAATAAATGTCATAAAGAATATTTCAACTTAAGATTGGAAATAACCTAGTGAGACTACCTAGATCCAAGAAGTTTTTTCTTCTCGTGACCAACACACGTCCTCCAGCCCCTCTCCCCACATGGACTGATGGGGGCTCCAGAAAGAACAGGAGAAACATTCTGTTTGAAAAATACCCCTAAGGAAAAGGAGAATTGTGAATTTTGACAGTTGAATAGCAAAATTGATGTTTCATGTCCGGCAAAAGCTTAAACCAGATTATCAAACAGATGACTTGTGAATGAACAGTAAAAAAATGCCTGTGGTCTGAGGGCACCAAACCAACCCAGTGGACACAGGATGTCACCAAGACATTTGACAGCATTTCATTAACATGAGAGGTACAGTGACATGCAGAATGGGTGTCAACAATAATATGAAGTGAGTTTAAAACTGGTTAAAAATGTCGATTAACCACTTGAGCACTGAGGGAGACCTCATGTGCGTCTGGGCTCTATCTTTGATCTGGCCTGTTTGACATTTTCATCAACAATAACTTGAATGAAGTGATAGAGATTTGCTAATCAAATTTGAGGATGGTACAAGTTCGAGAGACATGATTAACATAGACAACAAAATTAAAATGGAAAATAATTCATTTTGGTTGGCTAGAAAACAGTCAGATGGAATTTAACAGAGGTGTGTACAGTCCTACACCTAGAAGATCAAGGTGGGATTTGAGAATTCTGGCTGGGGGTTTTAGCAGGCCTCAGCTTACTTGGCCACACCAGTGTCATTTAATTCCCCACACAAGAACATGCACAGGCTCATACACATGCACACGTGCGTGTGCACACCCACACACGACTGAAGCATTCCTCCACCGTGATCATCGAAGTTAATGATTAAGATCACAGGAAGGCAGCTGTCTTGCTGCCTATGGCCTTTGGCAGCCCATGTCTGTGGCTTTGCTCTCAGTTTGGGCACCATAGTTTGAGGCAGCATAAATGAGGGCACTGAAAGAAGGGCATCAGGTTGGAAGGTGCCAGATCCTGAAACACAGGAATGAGCAAAAGCTGCCACAGCCATTGTTCCAGGGAGCTTGCAGTACAGTGGTGGGGATCACCCCACAATACAGCTGCACTGAGGCATCCTTCTGGTCTGGGAGACATGGGAAAGGGCAGGTACACTGAGAACCAATGGGCGAAGAGGAGTCAGCAGGCCAGGGGCAGAGGGAAGAGCCTCCCGGGCCGAGGCAGCACAGCAAGGGTGGGAACCACAGTGAATCAGGTGCACCGGGGGCGAACCAGGAGCCCCCGTATCCTGGACACCCAGGGCAGCCCTCCTGTCCTGTAGTGAGTGAAGAGCGTTCAGCCAAGGCTAATGCAGTGTTCTAGAAAAGGCAGGCCTCCCCTTTGGTGGGAAACGGAACCAGAAGATTCCTGCCTTCTCTGCACACTGTCCATCCAACCTGGGGAGTTGGGCCTCAGTCATCCATGGGTGCCACCACCTCTCTCTTGCTCACCTGGGAGTGGACCTTCCCACAGTGCAGGCTGATCCTCTAGAAACACCTGTCAGCTGTTTGTGACTACAGCCACAGTGAGAAATGCTGTCCACTGCCTGCGTCCAGGTACACAGAGTTGAAATGGCAGTTTTAGGGAAGAAACACCCTTACTACACACATTTTTAAAATCCTAGTCTTAACCCACTGCTGTAGATTGGATGCCCCCCCCCAACCTCACTGAAGCTTAATCCCCACTGTAACTGTTGAGGGTGGGAAATCCTATTACGGTAACTGAAAGGTAGGAGATTGAAGAGGTGATTATATTGCAGTACCATATCGTAGTGAATGGATTAATAATGGTGGTCATGGGCGTGGTTCTGCGGGCTTTGAAAGAAGAGCACGTGAGAGATTAGCCTCTCTCTGCTTCGCCATTTTCTGCAGTGTGAGACCCAGGGTCACTGTCACCATCACCATGGCCTGTACCAGCTGTGTTCCCTGGACTTTGGACTTCCCAGCCTCTAGAACTTTAAGCAAGAAATTTCATTTTCTTTTAAATCACCCAGTTCCATGTATTTTGTTATAAACAACAGAAACGGACCAATACACCAAGTGTTCATGACCCACTCATAAGATGGATGACACCTTCAGTTTGAAAAAGCACTGGCTAGAACTTCAGCTTCTGAGATGTGTCCACTGAGTGTCTCTGTTTCCATTAAGGCTCTGTAGGGGAGGAGGGGTATGGGGTGGGGACTCGGGTGGTGCCTGAGGTCTCTCGAGGTCCCCTCCCCGCCCACCTGGCTTAGTTCTCCACCTCCTTCCTCTCCTGGCTGGGGCCTGCCACCTCTTAGGGCCCCCCC